CTTCAGGTGGCCTCCCTGGCTGGACTGGTTTGGGTTCCTGCTGCTATCCATGGTGTAGGGCCCCTTACTTCCTCTCCAAGGAGGGTGAGATTCTCCTCCATGCTCCAAGGGTCCTTAGGTTCCTAGCCCTGGTGGCCTCACTGGCTCTTAAGGTGAACTTGGATCCCAACAAAGTGGTTATAGTTCAGAGGCAATTTGTTGAGTCTTCAGGGAGCCAAAGGCTGACTGCTCAACTGTTCAGGGCCAGAACCCTGACCTGTAGCTTTATGGACTTCCTTGGCTTAAATTCCTTAAACATTTGCATTTTCCCCACCCAGAATCAGCTCAGAAAAAAATGCTCACCTGATCTTTTTTTTTTTTTGCGGGCCGGGGTGGGGGGCGGCTTTTTAGAGACAGGGTCTCACTATGTGGTTCAGGCTGGCCTTGAACTCATTATGTATTCCAGGTTGGTGTCAAACTCATGGCGATCCTCCTACCTCAGCCTCCCATGTGCTGGGATCACAGGCATGTGCCACCACACCCGGTTCCACCTGACTATTAAATTTCTGCTTATTTCCATATTAATCACTCCAAAACCCTTTATTTTGCTATTAGATAGAATAAAAGACCTTGCAAAGCTTAATGCCTAGAGAGACCTTTGAAGTCCTCTACCCTGACCTACCACCTGGAGCAAACAGAATCCTTCAGCAGGAGTTTCCAGTGGGCCAGGACAGCCCTGCCAGGCTGCACCCCAAGCACTCACTCAAGTTGTTTTCTGTGTGTCCTCCAGTGCATGAATCCTGTTTTACCCTTGGCTAGTGGGTGTGCTTAGGGAAGTACCACTCAGTCCATTCCTGGACCATCTTCAAGGGGAGCCAGAGTGTGATTGCACAGTGGCGGGGGGCGGGGGGGGGCTCCAGCTGCTCAGTGGGAGAAAGGGCCCTGGGTTTGGGGCAGGTGCCAGAACCACTGAGCTAAATCCCTGGCCCTTGCCCTGGGTATGAGATGCTGTGCGAGTCCCCAGGTGGCACCAGACTGGGCTCCCGGTGGGTGAGGGAGGACATTTCTTCTTTGTTGCTCTCTGGGCTCTCTGGGGCCCAGCGTCTCTCCTTCTTGCTTTCCATCACCAGGCCTCTGCTATGTTAGAGCCTTTCTGCCTCTGCAAAGAAGTTAGGTAGCTGCTGTTACTTGAACACTAGAACAGAAACCTATACTTTCCCTCTCCCTGGGTCTTGCTGCTCCACAGACTGGCCTGGTCTATGACTCTCTTTCTATATCTCTCCTCCCTACTCTCATCCAGGTCAGAATCCTGGCCTAAGGGAGAACAGAAGTGGCCCTGGTGAAATACACATCCATCCTTGGAAGTGATTTCAGTCAGGAGACCATGGACAGCAGGACCAAGATAGCAGGTGCCATCCTCAGAGCACAGTTTGGCCCTCAAAGGGCTTCACATGTGAGGAGGACAATGAGATGATGTTCTATTTCTGCCTCCCCTCACCTACACTGCATTGGTAGGATTTGGTTCTCATATATGAGTAGCCCAGGTAGAGTATTGCTGTCTCATGTTAAAAGTGTCCTGTGGAGAACTGTTCAGCATGGGAACAGTGATCCCAGGGCCATCAAGAACCTGGCTCCTTCTAACTGTGACTCTGCCATTCTCAGCATATGGGTTCTACCTCAGATTGTGAGAGAGCCACCTGGTTCCAGCCAGGAGAAAGAGGGAGGATTTATCCCCTCTTCTATGGATTCCATTTTGATCAGAATTTAGAAAAATGGCCACATCTGTCAAAAATGAGTCTGGACAATGTAGTCTTGGGACAGGACGGCCATGTACTTGGCCAAAAATAGGAAAACCTTCCACTGAGGACTCTTAACTCTCTCTGATTCTCTGGTTCTTTTGGTCAGCAAGGGCTTGGCCCAGTGTCGGGAGCAATGCTACATAATTTTAGGGTAAAATCATTTGGTTAGCCTAGTTCTCCTGCCTACAGCTCAGCTATGGAATTCCAAGACATAATTCCATTTTGGCCTCTGGTCACAGCTGAGACCTCAGTGATCCAGTGATGCTGTGATTCTCCAGGACAAGATCACACCAGCTGAAGACATGCTGGGAGGAACAAAATCTTCATTCTACTCAGTTCCTCATTATTCTTGGATTGTTACATCTTGTTTACTTGGATGTACTGAACTCTCTGCAAGTCATTTGTTACATTTGTTTCTCCCGATGTACTGAGTACTGAATAAAAGGTGCGGTAAGCTAGGGGCTTTCGCCCAGAGCAGCACTGATCAGACCCAAAGCCCAGCTTCTTCTCAGTCTCATTTTTCTACCTTTCCTGTAATTCGCCTTGTGCTGCGGTGGCTCGCAGGAGACTAGGATTTACTGCAGAGGTTCTGGTAACATCCCCTTCCCCTGTTCCCTATAGCCCAGGGAGAGGCATTGTGATTCTGAGGTGTCTCAGGCTCTGACTCTGCTATTGCAGGCTGGGTTAGGGCCCAGTGAGGGGTAGAAGGGTCAGGAGGGGACCCGTAGCCCATAGCCCTGCTCCCAGTGAACTGCACTCTGGGCTCCAGCTGTGCCCTTTTTGGGATAGTTCTGAGCCTGAAGGATTTGAGCCAAAAGGGGACTTTTTAGGGGCAGTAGGGCTCGGGCAGCATAAACCCTGGTCTCTGCCTGGACTGTTTGAGATCCCCCCAACATCCACCTTAGCAGGGCATGGCTCAGAGCAGGTGTCTGGCAAGTCAGGGAGGGGTACAAGTCACCATACTGAGGACACTGTATCCACCTTGTTATCTTAACACCATCTTTTGCCTCTTGTCACAAAGAATTAAAATCTGTAATAAGAATGTTAAGAGCGCTCCTGTAATTTGGCCCATCAGTTTCATCCTGGCCATTAGCTGGCTGCATAGGGGTATTAATCTAGTCATTTCTCTGGCCTCAGTGAATTGTGATAAAAATGTCAAACAATTAGATTATATTGGCCACAGCACTGGTGTGATTGAGTGTTGAGGCAGAACATGTCCCTTGAATCACCCTGACAAAGGGAGTCATGCTCTATGCTGTGATAAAAGCCATGGAACATAGGTTAGATCTGAGAAGGGAGAGGTGTCATTGTGTGGTGGCCTGGAGATCATGTGTCTGTCCAGTGAGTGGGGCTCTTCTCCAGGAAACCCACAGCCCAGCATCCCTTGGAGCCTAGCTGGGGAGGGCAGTGAACAGGACAGGTAGCTCCTGGGATCCAGATGCTGCCAAGATCCTGGGGTCCTGGCTGAGCCATGAGCTCCACACTGAAGCTGAGGCAATTTCCAAGGCTGCACAGCCCAGTGGTCACAGAGGACGATGCCTGTGGGCCCCACTCGGGTCCAGTCCCTGTGTTCTGCGGCTACTGTGGACCCTCGTGTAGGGGGTTGGGAGTCGCTGCCTTGCCCTTCCAATGGAATGTGGCTGCCTTTCTTCAAGGGTTGAAGACATATTGAAAATTGATTTCTTGGTTGGAAATGGGATAATTAAACTGGTTGTTTCTCTCTTCATCATCGTCATAATAAAATGAGAGGACAGTAGGGTTATGCATGGCATGAAGTAATATTGTATGTCTTAATGCGAGAGAACATTAATTGAATACAAATGGCCTTTCTTGAAGTTGCTGAGTTATATTTCATCGATATGGGATAATGATGCCATTTAATCAACTTTACAAGATATAAAATTACTGGCTCCTCTAGGAAGATCATTAAGGAAAACAATTGTTCATAGCAAATTGAAAATAGGGTTTTAATTATTTAATACAGAAATTAAACTATTACAGACCAATGTTGGACACGGCATCTTAATAGAAATTTATATACAAGCATCTATGAACATTTTAGTTTTATTAACCTGCTGAATTCCTTACTCCAGATCAATCTGGGGGCTGCTTTAGCTGTGACTGTGGATTAACTGCTCAGAGCTGCTGAAAAGGAAGAGCCAGTCCAGGAGCCACTGGGGCATGGACTTGCTTCCCAGGGGGTCAGGTGAGTGGGCAGCCCAACCCCCCAGGGAAGCATGGAACAATCCCACTTGGGAATTCCAGGGAGGAATTCCAGGAGCCCAGGGAGTTTCTGAGTAGGAGGTGAAGGTAGATAGGTGCTCCAACTGGTGAGGGGAAGCCGCATGGGCACCCAGGCACAGGCAGATGGGGCCGTGGCCTCCCACACTGCAGAGAAGACGGCTAAAGGCTGGGAAGGTAAGACCGGAGACCAGACTTGATGTGTCTGATGGCAGTGTCTGATGGCCATGCTTGCAGGACGTGCCTGCAAGGTGTTGCTCTTGAGGGGTGAAATGAGGAATAAACAGAAAGTGTTGGCACAGAGACTTTGTGTACCTTGGTCCCCCCTGCCCTGTCCCTTCTTGGTTGGGATCTTCAGCGATCCCCTTTCAGGTCACAAGTGTGTGGCCTCTGGGTGGGTGCAGGGCAGAGTGAGGCCTGATTCTTGCAGTTCCTGGTCCTGAGCCAGGTCAGCAGGGATGTGGGTATACCTACCTACCTTCTGCCTGGAGCTGCCAGCTCACTCAGCTGCAGTCTCTCTCACCCTCAAGCCCTCCCACCCCAGGCATGATTACCCCCAGTCTGCCTCACCCGTCCAGAGACGTCCACCCTCTGTGTCCAGGAGACCCTTGGGGCTAGGCTGGCCGGGTCATGGGAGGCTGGGCTCTGTCAGGGAGCTCACGGTGGCTCCTGGTGTTTGCAGCAGCTGGTTTAGGGAGAGGAGAGGAGTGTTCCTTGAAGTGGGAAGTTCATTGCCAACTGGGGAACTGCTGGTCAAGTGGGAACTTGCCCTAGCACTGGCCTTCAGTGTGGTCTTTGGCAAAGACTACAAGGAAGGCTCACCACTTCTTTTATTTACTTTTTTGATATTTTCCAAATTTCCTATAATAAAACATCTTACAAATAAAAACTCATTTTAAAAGTATGGAAAATTTTAGGAGATAGGAAAATAAAGACATTTTTAAAAGATAGCTAGGTAACGAGCAAGAATAGTGTGTTGGACTGGATATACTATTACACATGGGACCACTCAATGCCAGGGCCCAAAGCCTGCCTTCCCAGTGGCTAGGGCTGGATACCATCATGGCCTGGTGGGCTGTGAAGAGGTCAATGAGCTGGGGGGTGAATGGAGCCCTCAGCCCTTGCTGCTCCCCCATCTGGGACAGGGAGCTTCTTGCTCCCCGCAAGAGGCCCAAGGCCAGGTGCAGTGTGGATTCACCAGGGGAGAGATGGGCTCTTGAGTGATATGGTGAGGTCATGGACCATGAAGGGTGCGTCTTAGTCTAGATCCTTGATGGCCATCTGGGGCTTGTGCCTTGGCTGTGTTTACTGAGAAGTGATTCTTCCCTGAAGACAGCCTATCCCTGTTTCAACTCTAACCTGCACAAGTGGGTCACTTGATGTCAGGAAAGTCTGAGGCTGGGCACAGGCAGTGGCAGTCACCCCCTGGAACCCTGGGCTTTTGGTCAGGGCAGCCCCTTGCTGCATTCAGAACCTTCAGAGCTGGGTGCCCTTTCTCAGGGGCCATCCACCATTCGAATTACTTCCTGTCTCCCATTATTACCAATAAATCCCAAGAGATTTCTTTTCTTCTTATAGTTTTTAGGGTTACATAAATTTCACCTTTGCAATTTTTTCATGCTTGAATATATTACAGGATGCCACTTCTGCTGTAGGAGCTAATTGATAATGTGATTTGTTATGTTTCTAGGACATAATTCAGAAAGTTATTTTAAAGCCTTTGATACATGGAATAGCACTCACTGTTTAATATTTCTCACATGAGTAGACACAGCATGAGGTAAAAAATGTGAGGCTGCAGATGAAATATTTCCAGAAGCTTTTATTCTTGTTGTTTGGGTGGGTGCCAAAGTCTTTCTAGAAGAAAGCTCATATTTCCAGGGCTATTCTGATTTGGATTTATTCCCTGGTCATTAGTCAGCTTTTTTTTAAAAAAAAAAAAAAACAGAACAAGTACGAGTATCTATTTGAAAAAAAGTAAAAATCAAACAAAAAGAGGAGAGTCACACATAACACTTTCAACATTATCAAAGATGTACATTTAATGTATTTTTTATGTCAAATTAATTATAGATTTACAGGAAGCTGCAAAAACAATACAATAGTTCCCTTACCTGTATTTTCTGTGGGTTTAGTTGCCCATGGTCAACCAAGGTTGGAAAATATTATGCAGAAAACTTACAAATTTTAAATTGGATCCCACAGAGTTGCGCACCATCCCTTTGCTGGTGTATGTGCAACCTGCCTACTCGTCCTTGGTAATTGCCTTGGCCATCAGCTCAGCTGTTCTGGTATCACAGAGCTTGTGTTCAGATGACCCTTGTTTTATTTACTAGTGGCTCCACAGTGCAAAAGCAGTAAGGTAGGGGAGACACCAGGGAATGAAACATGGAAGGTTAACTCCTGCCATGTGGCAACACTACAGGGCTTATGGTAGAAAGTAGTATACACAACGTTCAGCACCATCTGCAATTTCAGGCATCCATGGGTTAAGGGGAAAGTGTCTTTGCATGCATCCCCTGAAGATAAGAGGTGATTACTGATGTAGCACTGTGGACTCTTCCTCCACCTTCCCCAATGCTGGCATTTTGCATAGCTATAGTAAATAGCAAAATCAGGAAGCTGATACTGGTTGAAGATATTGGTGAGCAACACTACAGACCACATTCTGTCGTGGCTACATTTACAGGTATTCATCTGTGTGTGTGTGTGTGCGTGTGTGTGTGTGTGCATGTTCGTGCATGTGTGCAGCTTAGCAGTCCATCTATTTATAGATGTAGATCACAGCCACAATCAACATATAAAACTGGGCCATCACAAGGCTCCCTCCTGCTGCCTCCAGCCCATCCCTGTCCTGTAACAATATGAAACTTTTTATGCTGGCTTTTATTACTCAGCAGGGACCCTTGAGGTTGATCTGGGTTGTTGTATTAATAGTTCATTTATTTTTATTGCTGAATCATTGCTACAGTTTGGATTTTAAATGTTCCCCGAAGGAACATGTGTTAAGGGCTTGGTCCCCAAGAAGGCATTATTAGGAGGTAGTAGAATCTTTAGGAGGTGGGGGGCCCAGTGTGAGGTCTTTAGGTCACCGGGGCCAGTCCTTCAAAGAGGTTTGTGGGACCCTGGACCTAAACCTCATTCGTTATTTTTGCTTCCTGATCATGAAGTGAATAGTTTTGCTCCACTACATGCTTTTGCCGTGATGTGCTGCTTTGCCACAGGCCCAAAAGCAATGGGATCAATTGATCATGAACTAAAATCTCCAAAGCTGTGAGCAAAACAAACCTTTTCTTTTCAGAAGTTAATTATCTCAGGTGACTTTGTCATAGTGATGAAAAGGGAACACGGTGGTGCTACACTGAATGAACATATCTGAATTTCCTCCATCACTTGTTGGAGAACATCTGAGCTTCGCTGTTTCCAGTATTCTGCTGTTATGAACAAAGCTGCTATGAATATTTATGTATGTGCATTGTGCCAACATGTTTCTGTTTCTATGGGATCAATACTCCAGAGTGCAATTGCCAGATTGTGGGTAGTTGCAAGTTTTGGCTTGTGAGAAATTGCCAAACTTGTCCTGAGTGCCTGTACCACTTTGCATTCCCAAAAGTGTGTGTGAGTCTGCCTTGGTCTTCACTGGCATTAGGTGCAATCACTATTTTTTTTTAAATTTATTGTTTTAATAGGTATATATCAGTATTTCAGCATGATTTTAATTTGTGCTTTTTTTAAAAATTACTTTTAGGACACATGTCAGGACCCAGGGAGTCTTGGCACTTGTGCCAAAGTGTTAGTACTGAGCAGAGGACCGAGGGCAGGACTACTGATCTGGGTGTTGGGTCCTGTGGACAGATGCTTCTAGCAGGTGAGGTCCCCTTAGACCCCTTCCTTCCCTCTGCTGCCTTTCCTCATGCTGCCCAAGTGACACTGACACTGCAGTGCCAAAGCTTCAAACCCACAAAGGGTCAGGATGAAGAAAAGAGATTTTCCGCTCACATGACCTGACCTTTTTCGTTTCCCAACACAGAATGCAGAAATGGCCCCACTGCTGTGATTTGGATATGGTCTGAGTGTTCCCCAAGGGCTCATGTGCTAAAATTTCATCTGCACTGTGAGGTACTGAGGGGGAAACTAATCTCATGGCGTTTGGGAATGGGGCTTCAGGAGGTGATTAAGATTAAATAAGATCATCAAGGAGGAGCCCCTACAAATCCTGTGGCTTCATAAGAAGAGGGACAGAGACCAGAGGAGACACACATAGCCTGTATCTCTTGCCATGAGATGCCTTGCACTACCTTGGGACTGTGCCAGCAAGAAGGCATTGCGAGACATGGCCTGTTGAGCCTCCAGAACTCAGAGTCAAAACAAACCTCTGTTCTTTCTAACTCACCCAGTCTGTTGCATTGTGTTATTAGCAACCCAAATGGAATAATATGCCCACCTTGAGCCTCTGGCAGAGGGAAGGAGCAAGGAACTGGCAGGCAGAACACACCATGGCTTAGAGCTCTGCCCTCTGGAACTCTTCTGTACCTTCTCCTTGTCCTAGCCAGAAGACCACTGAATGGGTGAGAAGAATTCACAGCTTAACTCTGCAGCCCCACGCCTGGAAGGCCCCATCCAGGGCCCTCGAGAGCCAGTTCTATCAGTGGCCACACTTGATCTATCTGGTCATGTGGGAGGAAATGTGTTAGGAAATTTGGAAGGATCATTTAGAAAAAATGAATTTCTTTCCTTGGAGCCTTGGTAGCAGCAGCCAAAGGGAGCTGAAATGCACATGTTTTTACAGTAGAAAAGTGTCTCTTTACATTACTTGCTGGCATACATAGTGCCAGGAGCCTTTCTTGTTCTGGGAAGCTCCCTAGAGGAGCCCTGTGCTTGTGTACTGTGCAGGCAGGTACATAGCTGGGTGTAAGCTCTCTTCCATTCCAGGCTGGAAAATGCTGGGCAGGTTCCTTTCACAAAGGTAGCATCCTCTTTTCAGTTTTGTCAGAGCTAGAAGGTACTGGTGTTTGTGGCTAGGGTGGTGGCAGGAGGTCAGGGGGCCCTCAGTGTGGGACTGACTTTTGGAGTGCCCGGACTTCTATCACTGGTGCTTGGGGTCCTAGAAACCACATGACAGATTTGTTTTTGTTGTTTACTAAAACACTTAAACCAAAAACCAATTTGTGGTCTGTTAGTTTTTCTTGTTCAAGAAGCCGAATTGGAGCAGAAGATGTGTGTCCTAATATCAGCTGTTTGTTCGGGACCATGTGGTGGGGACAGAGGCCAGGCTGTGCCTAGGGCTGGGGAGTGCCCCAGGATGAGGAAGGGGAGAGCCCAGGGGAGGGGGTTCTCAGAGGGACAGAGCAATGATAGTGGCCCCGGAGGAAAATGCTGACACCTGCAGATGTCCAGAATCAAGCCCAGGTGGATGTCACCCTATGGCTTGATGTGGCAATCCATACAGGACCAAGTTGAGGGCGATGGGGAGGTCCTCCTCACTTTGGGGCTGTGGCTGGAAGAACATCATCTTGCTCTTGGAAGTTCGTGGTATCTCATCTGCAGAGGATGGGATGGAAGCCTATGAACCCCAAGCTCACTGGGGGCAGCATGTCTGGGCCCCACCAGGATGTCCAGCCCCTGAAATGGCTAGACCACGAGGCAGAGGGGCAATGCTCCTGATCCAGGGGACCTCAAGGTCTCCCAAAAGGCTGATCTGAGCTCATAAGTAGAATCCAACTGTGGAGGCCCCACTACCTCCACTCTGCCTCACTGCCACTGAAAGTGGAGAGAGATGTGACCCAGAACACGAAGCTACCAGCCACTGAGAGCTAGGTGTAACCCACCCTCCTCCCTCCCCCGTACCCTGGCCCAGGAGCTGGTCATGAAGGCTCTTCCAAAATCCTGAGGCCAGCCTCATGCGTTCTGTGCACACTCAGCCATATGACTGCTCTGTGCAGGGCAGCCCATGAGGACAAGCATCACTGGTCCCTTCTTCAACATGTGTTGTTTTAGGTTCATGTCTCCCTTTGTATTTGCCTGAACTTGTAGATCAATATTAAGCAGTGGTGCTGGGGATCTTCCCCAAAGAATTAAAAGAATCATACCACAGTGATATATGTGCACCCATGTTCATAGCAGCACAGTTTGT